GGTTGAGCTCTGTTTGTGTAGACTTCTGAGTTCGTCTACTTTTTCAAGAACAAGAACAACAACAACAACAAAACACCGCCAACAACACCAGCAGCAGCAGCAGCAGCAGCAGCAGCAGGAGCAGCAGGAGCAGCAGCAACAGCAGCAGCAGCAGCAGGAGGAGCAGCGGTAGCAGGAATCTGTGTGGTAGTGTCGCCGCTGCGCAAGCCAGAGGATCACATGGCGTTTTCCGACTTTGGTCGACATGACCCTTCCCACACACCCCCATTACCAAAGCAGTTTCAAGAGCAAACAGAGGCACCGCCAGAAAGCAAGCAATGCTGGCCTTCAGAGTAGTCTCGGCTCAGGCAAATTTTCCGATTCTTCTCCAGATTAGGTGGTTCAGGGGCTAGGGGTTATGCTGCGTGTCGACCAGAACTGGTTTTGGGGTGCGCGGGACCGTGTAGGAACATCTTACTGCTACATCCTTAGCATGTCTCTATCTTAGCCTAAGCGAGCCAGAAGCTGAATGAAGTTACATGCATCAACCAGGCAATGCTCCATCCTAAATCAGCAACCGAATTAGTTCGAAGTTAGTTTGTGTGGCAGGAAGGCAGCTCGAACTAAGACTGGCTGCGGTATGTGGCTGACAATGATGCTGTAGGCTCAGAGTCTACAATTCACCGTCGAAGGCTTAGAGTAGAGGGCTACAGACATTCTCAAGGAGGCAGTCCTCCAAGCCTGGAGCTTTGAAACAGAAGATGCACGGCGTAGTGCTCAAGGGCTCCGGATCGTAGGGGAGCCGTCCCGACTGTGTCCAGATTGGGGTCAATCCACGCTGCATTTCAGACAAAAGGTTTTATGACTCAGGCTTAAGGTTCCTGGATCACAATGATGGCTCTGGCTGTACCCAGCTGGAGAAGATCAGATATGCTCTGCAGTATACATACGAAAGGCAAAGCCTTTCAAAGCAAAGTCAAAACACTTTGCTCTTTGCCAGGGTCTTTGCAAATACACTGCTGACATATCTGAGGCTTGAAAGACCGCACGGATCCCAAACCGTCAGATCCTCACCGCAACAAACACACCCAAAGCCAGACCTAAACCCGGAGCCCTAAACCATCATCAGATGCTCAGCTTAGAATCACCCAGACTTATGTATTGCCTCACATGCCGGCTAGGTAAATTACTAGTCATCCTCTCGGTTTGCCTGCGGATATTGAGTTCGTAGTACTGGATATCACCTGAAGTACACAACAACGACAAGGACCGGTGTGGCATATTCCTGTCTTGGAAGGATTTGTCCATCCCCCCCAATACCCGAAGGCTGAGGAACTGGGCATCAAACCTATGGCATGCACACATGCATGCATGTATGTACGTACCAATGTATGTATGTATGTATGTAGGTAGGTAGGTAGGTAGGTAGGTAGGTAGGTAAGTAGGTAAGTATGTATGTATGTATATATATGTATATACATGTATACATGTATGTATACATGTAGATGTGGGTGTTTATATGTATACACACACACCGGAATCTATACATCGCACTTTTCTCTCTGGTCTGTACACGCCAGCTGCCTGAGCGCATAATTTACCTTCAGGAAGAAGTGTTCATCATTCGTGTCGACACAAAACCACGAAGACCGGCAGAGAGGTCGTCGGGTACAGCGCTTGCAGGATCCGTGGAACTTTCCCACGTCGGAGAGCAACATCTGCCTTATGCATGGCGGTTCAGACAACAGGGGCCCGTAGACCAAATGGAATATCTGGTGGTATTGGAAAGCTACTTATCAGAAGAGTGCCCAGTTTGGGACCCTTAGTTAAGGAGCATGAGCATCGCGAGACTTGGTAGCCTCACGCAGAACTTGGCACAGCTTCCCAACTGTCATACAGCTTGGACAGCCTATGGCAATTGGACACTGGGCAAAACGAAAGACAGGGAAAGGTCCCGACAGCTTTCTCTTAGACTCGTCGATTACGACCCACCAGCGCGAAAAACATGCTTAGCACCGGTGCCTGCCGCCTCCTTTGGGTTTAGCGTTTCGGGTTTAGGGTTTAGGGTGCTCTGCTTCAGAGCTTTGACCGATATCAAGCCTGGTAAATACAATCCCGAACGGCTCTGTGCAGCAAACTCCCCTTGCACGAAGCAGCCATAAAATGCTAAACTACTACGTAATTCTTCAAGTCCAAAATCCTCAGCCCTGCGCTCTAAAGCCCAATCCTTAGACCCTAAAACGGCCCCTTCACCTTCTGAGGTCCCCGTCGCCTTCTCAGAGCACGGCCCAAAACAGGCCGGCGCCGCGGCCAGCACCGCGCCCAGCAGTCACTGGGCAAAGATTGTGCATGGAGGCAGCTCAATATGGGAAACGAGCATCTTACTTGGTAGAAATAGTTACTAATTATTGCAATTAGGAATACTTGTGAAGGAAATCCTCATATTGGTTGTCGTACTAATGCTAATAGTCATATTATTTGCCAGAACCAAAGTAATGTAAATGCCTCTAGTCATCATCAACAACAACAACATCATCACCATCATCATCATCATCAACATCATTATCAGCATCAGCATCAGCATCAGCATCGGCATCAGCATCAGCATCATCATCATCATCATCATCATCAGCAACACCAGTAACAGTAACAGTAGCAGAAACCGTAGCCGTAACAGTAACAGGAACAACAACACTAGCGACAACAACAACAACAGCAGTAACAACAAATGCAATAACAATAGCAATAACAAAGAATCGAATAACGACCAGCAAATAAAAATAGCAAATAACGGTAACAATAATATTGATTATGAATATGCTATTATAGTCGAATAGAACCATGCAGCAATGGAATCAGCTTCGACTATACATGTTCATTGACTCGCCCGTCCTTTCGTTCTCGATGTAGTTCGGTTTATATCGCATAAAATAGGGAGTGGGATTAAAGTTACAGGTTCAGGGAGTTTGTGGTCTACGGAGTTTAGGGGTGGAGTCAAGGCGGGGAGGGTATCAAGCATTCCGCGTTTGCAGGGGTTTGAGTCACGGTTTGAGCTTGCTTCAACTGCTTGATATGTGAAGCCGAGGACATGCGCAGAAATCATTAGGAGCCTGCGTTTCGAAGTCTCTGGTCTATTGTGAGCGACGAAGAATTGGAACACATGGAATAGGCTTGAATACACACGATTAGTGCAAGAATTCCTTTTGTTTTTCCCACACGCTACACTTGCCCTAAACCCTAAAAGGTCAGGGAATCGGATCATGATGTTCCATCTTTCTGGCACTACTGCAGGCTAGGGAACAAAACCATGCACCTCCGAGTCCTAGCCCTCAAATCACGCTGTGAATGTGAGGTCAAAACATCCCCAAAGTAAAGCGCTTATACACTCCAAACCCCAAACGCTGCATCCGAAGCCCAAGCCCCTAAAACACACTATGCCTATGCCCTCAATCAAGCTATGGGAGTTGCAGTTTGTGAGTCGCAAAAGCGTGGCAGTGTGCCGTCGTGCGTCTGGTTTGCGCACACTAAACCCATAAGCTTAAGACCCCTGAATGCCTTGGTAGATTCCTTTAGAACCTGCAGCCCCTTGACCATACTCCCCTGACTCTGACCCCCTGAGTCACATCCCAGGCCCCTTAAACCAAGCCCGTATCCAAAGAGGGGAAAGACTTTCTTTCAACCCTAAACCCTAACTCCTAAACCCTAAACTAATCTTTCTAGACTTCTAGAACCCCAGCAAAACGCGATAAAGCAGTACTGCCCTCCAACCCCCGACCCCCTGCGCCCCGGCATGGCCCAGCCCAGGCACCTGATCCCTCGAGCCTGACTAGGCTCGGATTCCGTAACTTGTTGATGTCCTTGGCTTTAGGCTTTAGGGCTTATAAAGGATTTATAAGGGTTTAGGATTTATAGCGTTTATAAGGGTTAAGGGTTTAGGGTTCATGGTTGCGGAGATGGTTGATCCGCCCTTGGGCGCGTCTGGAATGTAGTGGACGAGCGTTGTGTGTCGATGTTCGGGTCCCACGCTGTCAGCAGCTATCTGAATCCATTGCCCGTCCACCTATCCAAGCTATATGGCTCCAACCTGAGCCTGGAACGACAATCCTAAATCCCTAAACTCTAGACCCTGTGTCCCAAAAGCCATAAAAGCCAAGCTGCCACCTCACCCCGGAACCCCCAAAAACCCCAAAAACCCCAAGCCCTGAAGCCCGCACTTCCCACGACCCATGGCCTGGTCCAAAGCCCAAAACACCCTAACTCCTAGCCATAAGACCCCTAAACTCCCCCCCAAGCCCTAAGACTTCCAAGACTTAAGCCTCCAGACTTCCAAGACTTAAGCCTTGAAGCCCAAATCCCAAAATGATAAAAAATACCCCAAAAAGAGAAAGCGCCCCAAATCCTAAGTCCTTACGTAACCGGTTAAAGCCCCAAGCACAACACATGATTGAATTGCAATGCCCTTGGGCGGGTATGGCAGCTCTACGGAACTCATAGTGTAAAACTGCGCAAGCCCTAAACCTCAAGGCCTTAAACCCCTAATAGGGTTTAAAGGTTTAGGGTTTATCCATAGGCTCCTAAGTAGTTCCTTTTGATGGTTTATATTTAGAATCCGATAATAAGGTAATCCCAAAAAGGAACTACTTAGGGGCCTATGGGTAGGCCCTAAAGCCCTACAGCCCTAAACCCTAAAGCCCTAAAGCCCTACAGCCTCAGCGGTGCTTTTCTCTACGCAGGCCGCGCCAGCCGCCGGGCGGCGACGGATCGGACCAAGAGGCTTTTCGGGCCTTGGTAGCTTAGAATTTAGGCTTCAGGGGTTTAGGGATTTAGGGGTCATATCGGGTTTGGGGGGTTTGGGTTTAAGGTTTTAGGGTTAGAGACTTTCGAGTTTTTGGATTTGGGGCTTAGGGACATGCGGGCTCCACGCTGTTGGGGTTGGGTTCTACATGTGTCTGTAGAGATTTGATGTACGGGCTTTGTGGTTCAGCTTTCCACCGGCTTCTTGCAAGGACCCTAAACCTTAAACCCCTAAAATCCCTAAACCCCTAAATCCGCTAAATCCCTAAACCCCTAAACCCCTAAAATCCCTAAATCCCTAAGCCCCCAAACCCCTAAAATCCCCGCGTTGGGGTTTAGGGCTTAGGATTTAGAGTTTAGGGGTTT